ACAAACTCTGTTAACCACAATGCCAAAAAAAGAACCATCATAATTGCTCTTAAAAAATTAAAGCACCTCCAATTAGTATTTCTTAGTGATAACGAGCAAAAAACGCAAATAATTAGAGTGCGCTTAACAAAATTCAAACACAAGAAGTCCACTTCCCCATGTTCCATGGAAATTACATAACAAAAAATCCATTCAAAACAAAATAAAACAGCTGAAAAAGTAAAAACTAAGATAAATAATTATAGTGCGCTTAACAAAATTCAAACACAGCAAGTCCACTTCCCCCATGTTCCATGGAAATTACATAACAAAAAATTCATTCAAAACAAAATAAAATAGCTGCAAAAGCAAAGACTAAGATAAATAAAAGTAATTATAAAATAAAATTAGACCAAAGACTATAAATTAAAAATCTGCAATCAAATTTTTATGATAGATACTATGCAGTTGTAATATAAAAAAGAAATATGCAAATAACCATGGAAAAAGGGACATCGACATTAATAAAGCACAATTGATTGGGTGTTAGCAACAAACAATGTTCCATGACCCTTTTAATTGTCTTTGAAAAAAATTATGTCATCAAAAGCTAAATGTGATAATGCTTAAACATCCAAATGAAATAAAAATGCAGCACAATCACATTTTATTTCAAACACTGCAGTACAATCACATTCTATTTAGAATCTCAACTTCTGATTCAAACAATACATTACAATCACACACTTAATTATGGGATATCATAAACTATCAAATAAAATAATGATTCAACTCATACTATATACTATCACTGCCTAAAAAAAAGTGTTTACTCGTACTTGGCAAGCAAAAGAGCCCATGATGTACTGTAACATTTGAAACAAAAATCAAGCCCCAATTCTTTTAGCAACAGTTGAAACAAAAACCCACCAAAAGACCATGAAAGGAAAAAACCATGAAGTAACTACCATGAATATAGCATCTCAAAATCCAAATTTTTTACAAAGTTCCATAAATATAAAGCCAAATTTCTTAGTGATTAAAAAATTAAAACACCTCGAATTAGTTTTCTTAGAGATAATGAACAAAAATACAAATAATTAGAGTGCAATTAACAAAATTCAAACTCACCAAGTCCACTTCCCCCATGTTCCATGAAAATTACATAACAAAAAACCCATTCAAAACAAAATAAAATAGTTGCAAAAGCGAAGACCAAGATAAATAAAAGTAACTATAAAATAAAATCAGTCCAAAGATTATAAATTGAAAATCTGCAATCAAACTTTTATGATAGATACTATGTAGTTGTAATATAAAAAGGAAATATGCAAATAACCATGGAAAAAAGGACAACAACATTAATAAAGCACAATTGATTACAATCACACACTTAATCATGGGATATCATAAACTATCAAATAAAATTATGGTTTAACTCATACTATATATTATCACAGCCTAAAAAGAAAGTGTTTACTCGTACTTGGCGAGCAATAGAACCTATGATGTGCTGTAACATTTGAAACAAAATTCAAGCCCCAATTCTTTTAGCAACAGTTGAAACAAAACCCACCAAAAGACCATGAAAGATAAAAACCACGAAGTAACTACCATGAATATAGCACCTCAAAATCCAAATTTCTTACAAAGTACAATATAGCACCTCAAAATCGAAAACTACCATGAAATTCTAACAGAGTGACAATCGAATTCAACTCATGAAATGTCTATATATACACACATACTCCTATTGTCGTAACCCAAATCAAAAATTTTGTGGGCTGAACACCACCATCTTAAACAAAACAGAATAGTAACCACCAAAACTGTTAATAGGTAGTGCAAAATACAAAAAAATAGGGAAAAACATAGAATACGTAAAGACAAAAAAACATGAGGTCCCGTGAAGAATTCCATCGAATAGGTGGTGTGCATGCAGATAGGAAGACAAAAGAGTGTGTGTGTGTGAGAGAGAGAGGGAGGGAGGGAGAAAGAAATTGATAGTGTATGTGGGTGTGGATGCGGTTGTGCTCATAGAGGGTGGGTTTCTGTGTGTGTGTGTATGTGAAGTAGGGGAAGGAGATAGGGGATCCACATGTCTTTAACCTATCTATGTATACCACATGAAGTAAACAACTGGGAAAGATTGAAAAGAGAGTTGACCTCTATGCTCTTGTAGAACCCACGCCTTTCTATAGTAACCTAAGCCCACCCACGTCTCATTAACCTCCTACAATGCAAAATAAATTGTTTGAATCAATCCATAAATAGCCAAGCCTCATGAATATGCAAAAAAATTGTGAATGCATAAGTCTCATGAATATACAAAGAATCAGCTTAATAAGAGCACAAATATAACTATGAACACCACCACCATAGAACAACTGGTTACAACAAACCTAAAAGCAAAAAATCAATACCGCATATATACTACATGTACCGGCCAAAAAAAATACACAGAGAAACAAAAATAACTATGAACACCAGTTGCTCTATATGTGCTTTCCAAGAAAATAACATCATTTCCAAGAGAATGGAATTCATATTGTGAAACAAATTGCATTAAAATTTACATACATAAATGTGATCGAGAGGGAGAGAGAGTTCTATACCTTTCTACCAGCAATCTTACAAGAACGTCTTACAGGAGAGTTCAAATCTTTCTAACTGGGTTCACAGATTGGAGTTCAAATGATGAGACCCATTTTGCCGAAGACGAAGATGATAAGTTCCTAATTATCAAAGAGGTACTTGAACCAAAAATTCTATTATAACACCCAAATTAGTTGTGTTTGTGTGTGTGTGTGTGTGTTTTGTGTGCTGCTGCTGGTGTGTGTGTGTGTGTGGGGGGGGGGGGGGGGGTTAGGCGTTATCTATTGTGGGTTTATGATTTGGAGAAAACCAGAGAACCCCTACTCAAGCACACTGAAATCTTGTCCACTCAAGATTTTTTTGGGGAATTTTGTCAAACAGTTTATAGGCGAACGAGAGAGAGAAAGATAGGTAGAGGGAAGTTGGGCGATGTTGCTCCAATTTGTGAACCTGGGGATAGTGAGAGAGGATGGGTTTGGGTGTGAGAAGAGAGAAGGGGAGAAAGAAATACTTGGAGAGCCTAGGGTTTGGCGCTGTTGGGGCTCGCAAGAGAGAGAGAGAGAGGAGTTGGTGAGGGGATGGTGTTTGCTTGCGCAGAATAAGGATGAGGGGAGGGTGTTTGCGCGGTGAAGAGACCCTCCGCCTATCGGCATGAAATTAGGGAAGTGAGTGAAAAGACCGAGAGAGAAGAGAGAGATGAGAGTAAACGACTGTGTGTGTTGTAGGGAGCCGTTGCTATGTGGGTTGGATGCGATAGTTGGATGGTTTTGGGAGGGAAAATATAATGGGGTTAAAATTGAACCCTTTTATTTTTAAAATAAAAAATAATCATATATATAATTTTTTTAAATTAATTTATGTTATATCAATATAATTTTTCAGTTACAATAAATTTTAGGATAAATTATAATGACACACATGTAGATTGGTCTAATTATAGGGACACCCCCTCAGTTTTTTGAAATTACACTGATACCCCATGTCAGGTCTTGTCTATTAAAAAATATAACAAAAAATACAATTTTTCATAATTACCCTTACCATTCATCATTTTTTACTTATCATTCTCTTATATATTTAAATACTAATAAATGGGTCGTTTTCAGGTTTAATCCGTCAAACCTGAAAATGACATGATCAACCTGTTTTATTTAATCGTGTTGAATTTCCTCTATTTTCTCATTTGTATGTTAACACGAACAACACGAAATTGCAATGATCCATATATTTAACTGATATTATAAAAATAAAATATTAACTATTTGTTACTGTTTATTAAGTACTAACATAATTATTGGATAAAAAATATATTTTTACTCATTCTTATTGTTATGTTTATTAAGTTAATTTTTAGTTTAAAGAAAAAATATGAGAATAGATTCAATTAAGTAATAATAGAACCTTAGACTTAAATTTTAACATTAATTTTTTAAAAAAAGTTTATATGAGTCAACACGAATACGAACACACTTGCACGGGTAACCCAACGGTGTAGAGTTGAATCTAGACAAATCGTAGACCCGAACGTTAGGGGTTTGACTCTCGTCGGTGTCTTTCGGACTTAACTGATACTTGTAATTTGCGGATAATTACAAGTATTCGGGGTTTACTCTTGCAAGAATGAGTCCAAAATGACCTTACCTTGGAGAGATTCCACAATATAAAAAAAAAACAAGAATATGATACAAAAAAAAATAGGTCAGCCTAATTTTATCCAGCGGTAATATGAGTATTAAAGTATAAAAATTTGATGATGTAATCACTTTTTTGACATTGCCAATAATGATGCTAACCATATAGATATTTTGTGAAATGGGTAGGTCAACAGTAAGGGATGTCAGTATAATTTCAAAAAATTGAAGTGTCTCTGTAATTAGATTAATCTACAGGGATGTCAGTGTAATTTATCCTAAACTTTATAAGTTGCCCTAAGATTTTTTTAATAAAAATAAATATTATAGTGTATTTTTAAGTAAAACTTAAATTTTATAAAATTTGAAAATATTTAATAATATAAATTATAGAGTAATATATTAAATCTTATTCCAATTGACCTAACTTATTTTTAATTATAATAAAGTTCTAATGTGATTAATATATTAACAATTACTTTTATTTTATTCAATAAATTATAATTGAAATCCAAATCAAATGAATTTCAAGAAATTTAATTTCTCAAACATCAATAAAAACATCGATCTTAATCACAAAATTTTAAAAATATAGGACTTTAACTATTTTTTTTTATTTTTTTAAAGTCAGAACAAAGAAGTTTACAAATATATAAAATTTTCATAATCTTATAATAGAATATAAACAATAAAAAATTAAAATTTATAAATTTGAGATAATATTTAATTCAGATACATATATATACCTAATATATTTTATTAATTTTTGTGAACAAAAATTATTCAAGTACATAGCAGGTAGCACATTCCTAGTATAAGCAAAAAGTCCGGACAAGAATACCAGGACTTTTCCTGGAGAAGGGAAATCAGAGAACGAAATATGTGCTTTCAAAGGAATCCCGCAAAATAAGTAATTCAGGCAATGAGATGTCCAAAAAATGGTCCTCGCAAATTACAGCATCAGATAAAAGAAAGAAAGACAACTTTATTGAGGAGAAGAACTAACACCAAATCTACAATCTAGCATCCGCAAATGAAACAATCCATCTTCTGGCCGAACAATCAGCATCCATACAGAATAAATTTGGAGCAAAAGACATTTCGTTGACTACTCCAGAATTTCAAACCAGGGTGAACATAGTAGAAATTCTTAAATAATAGAATTAGGACCGCATGAAACAAGCGGAGTGTCCTCTTCTACTCTGCTCTAGACTGACCAGCTCGAGAAGAAAGGATGATGCCAACAATAAGGCCATAGAGAGCCAGAGCTTCAGCAAAAATGAGAATAAGGATCATCCCAACAAAAAGCTTTGGCTGCTGTGCATTGGCTCTGGAAGAGAAAATAATAAAATCATATCAGCCCTCCTACCAAGAATATGAACAGTAAAGCCACAGACATAAAAAAGAAGTCACTTTCTCGTGTTATCCAAGTAAAATCAATTACGGCAAAAACATTAGGTGGAACAAATAAAATACCACAGCAAAACAGAACACAAGGCAATCCTCAAATCACAAGGACCAAATTAGACTACCCTAGATTGGAGACACTTAAATTGTTTGGAGGGAGAAAAGCAAGCACAAGAAATAAAAAAATGGAAACTTTATTCAGATATATTTTCAAACAACACTGAAAGCATTCATTGCTACAGAGTACAGAGTACAGACAAAAAGATCTCTCTCACATTACAAACTCAACTTACTCTGAATGCAGGCACAAGAATTAATCAAGTTAATCATTCTCCATTATTAGCTTCTTCTCATCATTCTTTCACATGACTGACATGAAAAATTCAACACTTACGAGACATCTCCAAATGCCACAACTTCAAATAAAATATAACTCAAGTCAGAGAAATACTCTCTTTTTTGGGGCAGAAAAGGATCAAAATATAAGCTACAGTCATTTTCTCTGATAAGCAAAGTAACCTGCAGCATTTATTACTCCTCAACCTGAACAAAATGGTGCAGAAATATCACAAAAATACCTATATCGAATCACAAAATCACAAACTGTCAAGTACTTTATAACGAACTTGCAATCACCTCCTTTGTATAACAGCGCTGACAAATCATGACATACACTCATCCACAAAATCTAGCAGTAAATAAACCACACCACTGAAGCAAAACAAATCATAACATATACAGAGCTAGCAAATTCAAGTAGTCGAACGGACCAAACCGAACAATTCGGTGATGCCATATGTCATGCAGATAAACAGATAAGATCGTTTGATATAAAGCTTCTTCAATGAAACTTTCATAAACATGAAATTCGAAAAAAACACAATAAACCAAATTGTAATCCTATACTGATTTTGAAAATAGAAAAATAACAGATCTGCAAACAACAAAGCAATCTATCTTTTTGCTAAGAACAATAAGGAACAAAGAAACAAATCAATGAAGCAATTAATCAACGGCACGAAAAAATGGAAGTCAGAGATACCTAACACCGGCATCACCAACGATTCCAATAGCCATACCAGCAGAAAGACCAGCGAGGCCACAAGCAAGACCAGAAGAAAGGTGAGCATAACCATCAAAAAGATAGTAAGACTTAGCCTTAGGGTTAATCCCAGTGCTAATGATCACAGCAATAATCAGCCCGTAGATACCCAAAACACCAGCCATAACAACCGGCACAATCGACTTCATAACCAGCTCCGGCCTCATCACCCCCATCGATGCGACTCCCACCCCACTCTTCGCTGTTCCATACGCTGCTCCCATACCTACCACACCAACACACGCACACAGACAGACAGACATAAGTATTCACATGAATTACCGAATAATTAATAATTAAACCTTAGATCTGCATCAAAAAAGACTAGATCAGATTGAGATTAGGCTTCGATGAGATTTACAGGAAAAGACTAAGGCAGCTGCGGCGCCGAGGAAGCCAAAAAACGGTGCCGTTTCATCGCCGCTGAATTTTGAAGACATATGTGTGTTCTTATCAAAGATTTGGATCCGCAGAGAAGTGATGTTGATCGGATCTGAGATTTTGTGTAGGGCTCCGGGGAGAGAGAGAGAGAAGATTAGAATTGATCGATTGGCCCTTCTTTTCGCGACTGCTCAATCTGTTCTCGGCTTCAATTAAGTAATTGAAGAGAATAAATTGTCCACGACCACCAGTTGATTATAATTACGGATTTACCCTCTTATATGAGGTGGTACATGCACGATATTTTAGACCGGAGTGTTTTTGGAAGTCGGTACAATAGTATTTTAAAATAAATCCACTCACAGATTTGTTTTTGGTATTAAGTCTCAATTGAAAAATAAAAGTAACGGACATTCCTAACTCTCTTTAAAATTACAAAAAATAATGATAATGTTATCATCTAATTTAAACACTTATTTTAAAAAATTACGTCATTATAATATAAACTAATTTTCTCCATAAATATAAATTGTAAGACATGTATACTAATCTTCTCCAAATAGGTATACAGCGTCAAACATGTATATAACAAAAACGCAATAAATATATACATTTTAATATATGTACACAACATATCATATGAATTGTGCTAGTATTAAAATTATTTTTTTTATTATATAATAACATTAAACAGTAATATGTTATACAAAAAAATAGTAACATCAAATAGTATATATATATATATTAAATTGACATCTATATTTGAAAACACAATTCTCAAAGTTATGAGTTTTTAAATTTGAAAACATTGAAAGTAACGACACTATTTATGGTAGGGGTAATTAGGTAACAGAAAAATAATTTGAAATGTATATTTAATGATAGAGTAATGATAATAATTTGATGAAATGAAGATTTAATGAAATATAAGTCGGATTACGATACTTAAAGCCAAAAAAGTACTAAAAAAAATACCACCATCAAATATCCGTTAATTGAATTGATTGATTGGGTTGAACATGGATAAAGCCCAATTAGTTACAAGGGTTTTGGGCCTAATGGCCTGAGTGCCAAAGGACAATAAGAATTGTCCAATTAGATGACCCATGGCCTTGGTTCCAAGTAGAACGAGGGAAAAGACGTACAAACATAGTTCATAACTTCAATTCCTCTCCACGAAATTTTAACAGAAAAAACTCCCGGAAATTCTTCCCCTTTTTCTTTTTTACTGTGAAGTGCAATATACTTTTTTCGTCATTTTCAATTTCATTTGGGTATTGTCAATCAATTGACAAGTATCTGGTCATTGGCATACAAATCAGATTCACTGCAGTATTTTGTGGTTGTTTGATGGAGTCACTGTTTTATGGTCACCAAGGTGTTTGACAGTATACTTTAATGGCATAGTTATAACGAATACTGAGAAAAGATCCGGCCAGACCCGTGGCAGTGCATAGGTGCCATTGCACTTCTGTGATGGATGTTGTTTGCATCCATCTAAAGATATCTCGTTCACTGGGTACGACTTCACTTTTTCGTTGCATTGGTTTGATTTAGATACATGTATGCTTATGCGAGTGTAGGTTAATGGGTTCGAATTGCACTCCTGTTGATGGCGAGTTGCATATTTGGCAGTTGATACAACATCAAACTACATTTTCTCTAGGTAGTGACAAGTAAGGGGTTATTATGCAGATTCAATATAAATCTATCATATTGATTTTAAATGATTATGTACTGCATAGGAAACCTTGGATTGTCTGTATACTCCCTGAAAATCAATTGAAACGTTGTCTAGAGTATGTTCTTTGGATGATTCAACCTATTCTACCCATGTTTCTTAGTCACGAATTAGACATCCCAGAACAACTATTGACTGAGAGATATAGGCTCGGGTGAGCAACAATTGAGTCCCCGTAATTAGAAGCTTAAGTAAGCCTACACATCAAAAAATAAATAAAACATTCGATGCTGGATCGATGAAAGCCCTGAATTCAGTAAAAAAGAGTCAGATGCCAAGCAATGCCCTTGAAGGTTTGTTCAAGCAAATACAGACCACAAAGTTTGGAATTAGGTCGAAATTTTAAGTGCCTGTATCCTAAATTTGGAGCACCTCAACTGTAGTGAGGTCTACTTCAATGGTTCCGTCTTCCTATTCTAGTTGGTAGGTGCCATACTGTTGGCAGCACCTTGGTTGATTCATGTATATGTTTAACTTATCCGCTGCTCTAGTTCTTTCTCTATCTGATCATCACAGTATTTTTCAAGTTAGGCTTTATTTTTTCGAGTTTGACTTGGTAGCACAATTAGTGAGAGCTGGTAAGTTTAGTTAAGGACAGTGAAGCTAAATGTTGGTCCTTGGCTTCATTCTGGACCAGCCCAAAACTGAATGTGAATGACCCCCGTTCAGATCCAACTTTACACAAAAGACAAAGGATGTTTGCCCAACCTAGCTTTGAGTTAAGACAAGGACTGCACGTTCTAGTCACATGGAGGGATTTTAAAAAACCCACCGGGAAAATGCCTCTAAAATGCGTCAACCTCCCTTAGTTTTGTTCTAGAACCGAAATAGGATGAAACCAAATGATGTTGGCCCAGTGTAGGGAACTGACCCATTGGGACAGGTTTCTTGAGGGCGATTGTGACATAGAGATCATCGATTGTGATTGTCTCGGGAAATTTCTGTACCTGTATGACTTAATTTTTACTGGCCACCGCTCCGTTTGGTACGATAAGAAAGTGAGAGGATGAAAAATTAGAAGGATAAAAAAAATATCATATTTGGTAAAGAAGGAAAATAGAAAGGATGAAAAAGTGGATGGATTAATTTTCCTTCCAACTCACCAAAATCAATCCCTCAAAAATCGGAAGGAAAGTAGATGAAAAGTTAATTATTTATGTTGAGATGTATCTTATTTGTCTATATATCTTATATATACATTAATTTCATATAAAAATACAATGGTAAAATATGTATATATATTTTAAAAATTAAAAAATTTAGATTAATTTTTTTTTTCCATCTTAACTAAAAGTGAAAATTTTAAATTCAACATGATGACACGACTTGAATTCGATACGAAAATAAACAGGTCAACTCGCAACTCAACACGACACAATTAGTTAAATGAGTTAAATTAGGTTTGACTAATATTCAATACAAACTCGTAATGACTTAACACGACACGACTCGACTCGATTGTCACCTCTAATCTTAGTCAGCATAAAAAAAAAATTTTAAAAAAATAGTTATTTTTATTTTCCATCCATTCAATCAAACAAAAAAAAGGAAAGTGTATCATTTCCACTTTTCATCTTTGAAGAATAGAAAATATATCCCTCTTACTTTTCATCATTTTTATTTTCCATCCTTCCTACCAAACGGAGCATTAATCTGGGTGGTGATTGGAATAAATTACACTACTTAAAGCTTTTGAACTTGGTTGAACTTTGAATAGGAAAAGCAAATGCATGTTTATCAAACGTTACCACTATAGTAGTCACACTTTTAGTCGGCAAATCTCTTAGTTTCACTTAAACTGACTAATTTATGGAATCTGTTGATCATTTTCATAAAAGATAAGGGTGACAGCTACTGATTTGTACTTATAGAATTAGATAGAAATACATACTCGAAAATTTTCACAAGACTTCAGTTCTTCACCGACAGTTTCTTTTCATGACAGTGGTAAGGAGATGGTACTAAATTCTCCTTCTGTCCAGCTCATTCTATATGGCAACTGCTAGCAAGTAGAAGTTGAGATCAGCCCTTGGCAAGGATTTTACCTTTTTTTTTTTTTTTTGGGGGGGAAAGGGACTTGAATTCTTGACCTCAATAAGACAAAGTCTTCACAAGATAAAGAATATCATTGGACCAAAGACTCGTTGGTAGCAAAGATTTTACCTAGAAAGGGGGCTTTTAAGCACTTGTTGATGAACCTACTTGAATGTCCCAATACCTTTAATTTGTGAGCCAAAACAAGCAAACCGTGTGGTCCCATAATTTTTTGTCTAAATTATCAGTAGGTGCCAAAATGAACGGAACAACACAAACAATTTTAAGGAAAATTGATAGAACTTGTTTGGTTGCTCTATAGCTGCCAAGCAGCATTAATATTAGAGTAATGTTACACGAACTTAAAAATTAAATTTGATAATCTCAACCATTGAATAGGTAGTGAGTTTTAATAAATGCTGGGACCCACAGTGAAATCAATGGTTAAGATTATCAAGTCTAATTTTTAAGTTTACTTCTTAAGTTCATGTAACATTACTCTTAATATTAATTAGATAGTCTTAATGTCATTTGATGGTAATAGGTTGATTATTTAGTGGATAATTGTCTTGCATTCTCATTCCCATTCCCAATATACAGCTGTACTTTTGTATGGGAAAATGATTTATGCTTGTGGACTTGATATTTCTCCATGTCATGTTGGTGTTGATGCCGCTGACTGATCAGGAAAAGACTAACCTATAAGCTGTTTAAAATCCTTTTTTGATAATTTTTTAGATATTTTTTCCCTGCAATTTTCTTGGCATAAGTTTCTATTATTGTTGTAAATATGGGTGCAAATTAAGCAAATCGAGATGAGCACCATAGTATTTCCAGGTTTGGCTAGTTAACCTTGCTAAGATTTTGTAATCATGACGAATTTCAAATATTTTGTTCAAGGTTAATTCAAAATTTTTTGCCCAAGATTAACCTTGGTTCGACTGAGTTCATCTGATCAAATGAACCAGGCTAGCACATAAATGCGCATTTAGACTCATGTTTAAGATAAAACACGACTCAGTTCTATGTATATGTATATGCAAACAAATTTTGTATCTACATATCGTGAACGCCAAACTATGGGCCATATTCAAGGAGGAACCTCATTGGAGCAGGTGGCATTGCAATCTCTCATACATTGAGGGAGAGACACTAGTGTGCTGATAGGTTGATAAACATGGGAGTAGAACAGGGGAGGAACTAGTGGAGCTAGAAACTCCACCACCAAAAAAGTAGAAATTTCAACGATTATATATATATATATTTTTTGTTTAACGGTTAGAGATGTCTAGATCAACTAATCATTTTTCTAGTCCAGTCAAAAACAGAATTAAAAATGTCTGAATTTATAATTCCAAAAAACTACACCTCAAAACAAACATTATTCCTTCCATCCCATTAAAATTAGTATGTACACGTATATATTCCTTCATACCTGAAAACATGAGAGACTTAGAGATTTGAAAAGTCAACCGTATCATGGAGCCAATTGCCATTAAGCTATGGTGTCAGGATTTATATGGTGTTGGAATCGTGTAATAAATAGTTGCAGGGGTGAGAAAAAAACTCCATCACAGAATATTATTTTCGATTCAGGTGATCTGTTCGACTACTTAAGAGTTACCCATGCCATACATTTCTTTTAATTCACCATCTTCATTTCTTCAGACATGAATTCAATGTAACCAACCAACCAACCACCATATTTTACTCGTCAAACTTCCAATTTCATTTATAAACAATTCTTTTTTTGACTTTTTAGAAAAAAATATCATGATTGTCTCAATAAATCACTACAATATTATTCTTCTGCTCACGTGACGAATTAATGTTGAACATTGTGCAAAGTTATCACTCCACACAAGGGACGGTGGTCCCAAAGGACTACGCTTGGTGGGTGGAATATACACGAGGTAATATGTTATTATTGTCCCGTTAATAAGTTCATTTAAATCAGTTTTTATTTTGAACTTTTGAATTAATGGTTAAGATCTTAATTATTATATGTGTGAGCAGAAACCACAACAAAATGATCAAAGGCGACGTGTATATATATATATATATGTTGAATGAATATGCATTACTGTTAGATTGGTGGGTCAATAAATAAAAGAGACTATTATTATCTAGTATTCATAGTGAGTCATCTTATATGTCCAGTACAAAAATAATTATTATAGAATGGTATATGACCTTTGTCAAACAATTTAGCCAATTCAGTAATTAAAGTAGATTAATAATTTAAATTATTTATAATTAAAAAATATTTTTTAAACTTAATTTGGAAAGCATTGATTGCGTCCGGTGCTATCCACACAGAAATGGTACAACCTCAGAAAGGCTTTAAAGCAGACTGACCACCTCACCCTCACCACAGAATTCGACCAAAAGCCGCGCACCCAAATCCCAAACAATTTAACTTCTCATGACTAAGCCTCTGATTCTTTCCTTCCTCCTGTGGCATTTACTACTGCTTCTCACCGGACCATGTCGCCGGAACCTCGCCCAGGCAGCCGGTGGCACGTGGTCCCTACTGAGACCCAACATTGGCATATCAGCCATGCACATGCAACTCCTCAATAACGACCGCGTGGTCATCTATGACCGTACGGACATCGGTCGATCCAACGTCTCATTGCCGGACGGTAAATGCCGGAACGACTCTAACGATACCGCTCTGAAGAATGACTGCACTGCTCACTCAGTTGAATACGACGTCGCAACGAATTCGATACGTCCTCTCATGGTTCTCACCGACGTTTGGTGCTCCTCTGGCGCCGTCATGCCTGACGGTTCTTTGATACAAACCGGCGGTTACAACGATGGCGACCATGTGGTTAGATTGTACAATCCGTGTAGTGGGTGTGATTGGCAAGAAATACAGAATGGCTTGACTCAAAGAAGATGGTATGCGACCAATCATATCTTACCCGACGGCCGGCAAATTATAATCGGCGGTCGAAGGCAATTCAACTACGAGTTTTACCCGAAGACCGCCATGGCCACAAAAGCATATAACTTCCCATTTTTAGTCCAGACCACTGATCCAGTGGTTGAGAATAATCTATACCCCTTTGTTTTCCTTAATGTCGATGGGAATTTATTTATTTTCGCGAATAATCGAGCTATATTGTTCGATTATTTAAAAAGTGTTGTCGTCAAGAGATACCCGGAAGTGCCCGGCGGGCAACCTCGGAGCTATCCCAGTACTGGTTCTGCCGTTCTTCTTCCGGTGAACATTAACCTGCAAGGACTAGCAGTTGAAGCTGAAGTTCTGGTTTGTGGTGGAGCACCAAAAGGAGCCTACACCAGCGCCGCAAACGGTAACTTTCTTGGAGCGTTGAATTCCTGTGGAAGGATCCGAATTACAGACCCCTCACCTCAATGGGTCATGGAGACAATGCCTATGGCTCGAGTCATGGGTGACATGCTATTGCTCCCAAACGGTAACGTGTTAATCATAAATGGTGCAGCGGCGGGTGCTGCCGGATGGGAATATGGTCGGAACCCCGTTTTGAAACCGGTCATTTACCGACCCGGTAACTCCATTGGGTCTCGGTTCGAGGTACAAAACCCAAGCACCATACCCAGAATGTACCATTCCACGGCGGTTTTGCTCCGTGACGGTCGGGTTCTTGTGGGTGGGAGCAATCCCCATACTTATTACAATTTTACTGGGGTCCTTTTCCCTACAGAATTGAGTTTGGAATCGTTCTCGCCTTCGTATTTGGATCCAGGATCCGCAAAACTGCGCCCAAATATCATTTCTCCCGTTTCCCAATCAAAGATCGGGTATGGTCAGCAAGTCACTGTTCGGTTTTCAGTCATGGAGACCCTTAATGGAAATATGGTCACGGTAAGAATGGTAGCACCATCGTTCAACACACACTCTTTCTCAATGAATCAGAGACTGCTGGTTCTTGGTGGCGGGACGGTGGCGGCGGTAGGGGGATCATCGTATGAAGTTAAGGTAGTGACACCGGGTTCGGGTAAACTTGCACCATCTGGATATTATCTTCTATTTGTGGTTCATCAGGATATTCCTAGTAGGGGTGTTTGGGTTAAAATTCAGTGACAGTAAGTGTTCATTTAGACTCCAATAATTGACACTGATTCTATTAATCAATGTCGTTGATTTAACTGTGAATCCCAATATTTATTGGGATCAATTATTTATTCAATGATTGTGATCAATCGAATCAACAAATTGTGTTAATTTTTAAAGTCCAAATAATATTTTCCTATTTATCTTTTGGGTTATTTGACAATTTTTTCCCCCTGGGGCTGGGAGCAGGGTTAAAAATAATTTCAACAAATTTTTGTATTTGACCGACTAAATCAAATCTAAGTTATTTTTCCCCCATTGGGAAAAGATTTGGCGTCACAAGACTAATTTGTTCCTTTTCACATATAGAATTAGCAAAATCTCAAACAAACTAATCACATTATTATTCTTTGTTTCTACTTCTAAAAGTTATGGATTCCATTCAGCCAACCCAGTGATGGGTTATAGAGAGAGAGTTGACAAAATGATTCAGGAGTCCGAAGCTTGTGTGTTGTTCCAAACACTAAACCTTGCCTTGCTCCAACATAATGTGTTTTGAAAACCTTAAAATCATTCCATTATTGAAATTAATAAGTTGTGACTTGAGCAGAGTTGAATGTTTGAACTCTCCACTCGGGTGTAGTAGTTATATGGTCCAATAATATAATTGTAACTGTAACTGTTAAATTTTTTCATTATTCAATAATATTATTGTAAACGTTTTCGTCGGAACTCTTATAACATCATTATGTCCACAAATTTTGAAAGTAAGTTCCAATTGTATTATTCTTTTGTTTTTTACGCTTGCGGTGTTTCTCACATAGCAAATATCACTCTGAATTGGGTTGGATAAGATTCTTAAACGTGTATCCTATATATTCCAGAAAAACAGAAGTCAAGCATCTAAAATTAATAAACTAGTTATATAAGGAAATATTGTTAGGATTTCTCACGATTTAAATCCACTACTAACAACACACACAATCGAAGAACAAATTAAGAATATAAAACAATAAGAAACAAGAAAGAACAAGACACAGATTTTACGTGGTTCGGCAATTTGCCTACGTCCATGAAGCTGCAGGGATTTCACTATTGAGAGAGTTGAATACAGAGAGCGGCTGTACCATCCACGATTAACCCTAATCACCAAAACAACAGGGTTTATATGTCCTACGCACTGGGCTGTATAACGGGCCCAAGCTTTCGCTCCATGGACTAAGCCTCAGAAAATTTTTCATTAAAAACCACACAACATTATTTCGGGTCGGGGTCATCATCCGAATCACATATACAAACTAGACTCCATAAAAAAAAACCAACAAATATTCTGTCGGAGCATTGGGCAGCTGAACATTAAGCTTACGCTTTATGATTGAGATTATGAACCCCCAAAACATCTCTTCAGGGAGATTTTCAAAAGTGTACATGGGGGACATTTTTTTATTACTCGGAATAAGGTTGTGACATTAAGGCGGGTGGATTTTAATGCAACAATAAGGTTGTATTATCATGGGCGGAGCCAAAAAATTGTGTCAGGGTGGATGCGAATATTCAACAAAATATGATTTTTTTCTTAAAATTGATAGAAATAGGACAATAATTTATTTAATTACATCCTACTTAATACTTAAAATTTTATTAAACCCACTATACCGAAATTTGATAAGTCTAGTATATCTAAATGATAACATTTTTTTTTTTTACAAAATATTAACTAATTAAAATTATTTAGAATTGACTTCAGTGAATTTTTATACTTTTAAAATGTTGCATAACAACTTTATTATTCTTTAGATACATAATTAAGCTATCACTTTGGTATTTATAAATCTTTTGACCGATTATGCAATTTAATGTGTACTCTATAATTTTTACCATAATTAACAAAAATAAATGTTAAAATCACAAGTAAACTAGCAAATATATATATCATGTCTTTTTTAATCTTAGAAAATATAAAATAATTCTAATATATTTAAAATTTATTTAAATAGGCACATAACCAGCCTAAAATGTGTCAAAAAATTTATATTTATTTGATATAAATATACAATAATTAATGTGCAAAAAAAAAATAGGGATGACATAATTAAAATTATTCATTTGTTATAAGTGTACATTAATATTTTTGTCTTTAATTTTGGGTGGGTACAAATAATATATTATATAAATATACAATAAACATACCTAAGTTAAAAAAAAAAAATTGAGGGTGGGGAAACAGGCTGCCTCCGCCCTTGTGTATTCTTGTAGCATGGTCATTGGATACTAATTAAAAAAATTCTCCTATGTCCTTTGTGTGCTAGCACAAACTTTGATAGTTTCTTTTCTTCGGAAGAGACAAATCTTTGAAGAAACAATTTGTCATCACAGCCTCTGCCTACACCCACTCATGATAGGACTCAATTGTAGTGGGGGTGTCACGGATCACAAAGGCCATGAAATTCAAAGCTCACGGGTCTGTAAAGTATCTGCCCCATTATGACTGCAACAAAGGGGGTAGTCGTCTTTCAGAACTTTTTGACATTGTTTTTTCTCCATTCTCGTCTACCTATAGGATCATAACAGTGATCAACCTAGGCTGGTCTTCGGTATCATCACGTGGGGTTGGGGGAGATGCGAGGGGTAAGCACCGCTGGTAACTTATATATATATGAAATTTCTGAACAGCCAGAAAGGAATTCTTTGATCCACCGGTTACCTTTCCACACTTCAGAAAGAATCCCACTTCAATTTTCGGATCCGGAGTTAATGGGCTTGCCAACATGGGCACTTTAGGTATATATATCCATCTTAACGGGCTTTGATATGAATAGTTGAAGCCTAATGCTCCATTTAATAAGGAGAATGAAAAGTAGGAGTGATACATTTTCTATCTTTTGAAAATGGAAAGTAGAAAGAATACACTTTTCTTCATTTTACTCCGTTTGGTAGAGAGAATGGAAAGTAGGAGGGATATACTTTCTATCTTTTCAAGTATAGAAAGTAGGAATGATATACTTTCTTTCTTTTGTGTTTGGTTTAATGGATGAAAAATAAAAATGAATATTTTTTTTTTGTGCTGACTAAAATTAGAGATGACAATAGATTCAAGTCGTATTATGTCAGATTCGTGTTAAGTCATTACGAATTTGTGTCGAATATTAGTCAAATCTAACTTAATTCATTTAATTAGTTATGTCGTGTCGAGTTTCGAATTAACTTATTTATTTTCGTATCAAGTTCGAGTCGTATTATCGTGTTGAGTTGAAAATTTTCACCCTTAGTTAAAATGAAAAAAATATTTTTTTTTAATTAAAATTTTTTATTTTAATTTTTTTTAAAATTAATTTTTAAAATTTTTTAAAATATATATACATATTTTACCATTGTATTTTTATATAAAATTAATATATACATAAGATATATAGACAAATAAAATATATCTCAACATAAATAATTAACTTTTCATCCACTTTCCTTTCGATTTTGGAGGGATTGATTTTAGTGAGTTAAAAGAAAGGTTAATTCATCAACTTTTTCATTTTTCCTACTTTCCTTCCTTACCAAACATAATGTTTTATTTATTTTTTCAACTTTTCATCCTCCCACTTTTCCATCGTACCAAACGGAGCATTTGGTTGGATGGATGGAAAATAAAAATAACTATTTTTTTTTGTTTTGTGCTGGTTAAGATTAGGGGTAACAATAGAGTCGAGTCGTGTCGTGTCGTGTTAGATTCATGTTGAGTTATTATAAATTTGTGTCGAATATTTGTCAAATATAACTAAACTCATTTAACTAATTGTGTCGTGTCGAATTGCGAATTGACCTATTTATTTTCGTATCGAGTTTGAATCGTGTTATCATGTTGAGTCAAAAATTTTCACCCTTAGTTAAGATGAAAAAAATATTTTTTTAACTTAAAATTTTTATTTTTTTAATTTAAATTTAAATATTTATTTATTTTTTAAAAAAATTAATTTTTAAATGTTTTTAAAATATATATACATATTTTATCATTGTATTTTTATATGAAATTAATATATACATAAGATATATAAACAAATAAAATACATTTCAACACAAATAATTAACTTTCTATCCACTTTCCTTCTAATTTTGGAGAGATTAATTTTGGTGAGTTGGAAGGAAAGTTAATCCATCTACTTTTCTATCTTTCATACTTTTCTTCCTTACCAAACATGATATTTTATTTATCCCTCCTATTTTTCATCCTTCTAATTTTTCATCCTCTCACTTTTCCATCGTACTAAACAGAGCATAAGTGGGATTGTCCGTGGGTTACTTGATTGAGTTCCCGCATGGGTTTAGCAATATGGACAGTGAGCGAATGAGGTATTGGCAATGCCCATCTTGAGTAAGAACAATTCCAACCATGCTCTACAAAATATAGTGTTTTAAAATTCGGTCCGACCCGGTGAATCGGTGCCTAAACCGGACCAGTTCACTTATTAGATCGTTTATGCATAAGAATTGGAGTCAACCTGATGAACTAGCAAAAATCCGGAGAAAATTGTCAAATCGGACAGATTCCATCAAGCCGGACGAGTCATTTAATTTAGTATAAATTTGATTTTTGGGCATTTTGCCCTAAATTGTGTTGCCCAGCCCGTTTTGGTAGACGTTGTTTCGTTCCTCTCAATGTGAGTCTCTCTTTCTCTCTCTTGCGCCACTCTAGTCTGGTTTATACAGTAGTGTGTAGTGAGAGCTCGAAAGGGAGTGAACCTCGATTAAAGACTCGAAGTGGAAGGAACAAGTACATATTGTCATTCTCTCTCTCTTTCTTTCTCTGTCATACTCTCTCTCTCTCTCTCTCTCTCTCTCTCTTAGTTTGATTTGTATTTTGGTCTTTGGCTCTGCCTTTCTTTGCCTCACGAACGGCTAACGGTATCAGATCGAAGGTCTGTCTGATGACTCTTGCTCTGCGTGCTATGGAAGAGGAACTTGATGAAGACTCGAAGGCTGGACATGGGCTCGATCAGACTTCCATCAGCATCAGTACTCATTCTCTGCACATTTTCTTCCCTCAAGCGAGACTCCAGGCATCAGCAAGTACGTTATTTCCCCCTTTCTCTCTACACATTACAATTGGTATATTATACACACTAATATTGTATTGTATGATTACGAGTTGATTGATTTTGGCTTTGTTGATTCAGTAAAACTAGATTTGGTGAAAATTTTAGTTAAATTTGATTTGATATAGATTTATTACGGTGGTTAGATTCAATTTGATGATTTTGGAATTTTTGTTTGATTTAATATGTATACATAAGGATACTATTTTTATTGATTTTTTAACTTATTTATTATTATTATTATTAATTTTTTTTATATTACTTGTTCGACCAAAATCAATGAAAATTAAATAAGTTAAAATTTTATATTAATTTTTTTTTATTATTGATTTTTTTTATAATATAATTTAAAATTTTAACTCAAAGCATGTATAATCATCATCCCAAGCAAAATCATACCATAATAATAATTTTAATACAATTTAATGGCAATTTAACACCCATCCATTTTAAATAACAAAAATTAATTGCACAATATATCTCATAAATCTAAGATTTTTTCAAATATTTACATTAATATTTCATAGGATCTAAATGTAAATATTCTATTATACATAAAACTAAGGGAGTTTTTTTTTTTTTTTTTTTTTGGGGGGGGGGGGAGTTTCAGTAGTAGTAGCCGAAAGCGACAAGCAATCCATATTATTCAAGTTAGTAGTAGAGGCGTGAGAGGGGGGGAGATCAGAGGAAAGTACTAAATTTCTTCGCAAGAATCAGCAAGAGGGATCAAGGCAGTAACAGAGGAGTAAGAGGAGGGGGAGATAAATATCTGCTTCACGGCAAAATTGGCGAGCAAATTTCTCTTTCTCTAGATCTGGCGAGCAATTTGGCTTCCTAGATTCTGGCGAGGTGGAAAGCTGAGGCGTTGGAGCTTAATTTTTGAGGGTTACTTGTCAAAACAACTAAAAGGAAGGAGTAGCGAGGGGCATTAGAGATGCTCTAAGACTTGAGTATTTATTAGATGGTTTACCAGGACCGAACAGGCCTGAATGAGGTCCGCTAAAGTATGTCTTCTTGTCGGACATGAAAATAGGAGATTAAAAGGGTACGTAGGAAATTAAAAGAGTGACAAAAGTGTTGGATTAAATTGTTGCGTGTCGAATTAAACGGGTAACGTATGACAAACATGTAAATCCGTACACGACACGTTTAATAAACAGGTAAAAAATCTTAATACAGACACGACTCATTTAATAAACAGGTAACACGATACGATTTGTTTAACTCGTTTAATTTTAAAAAAATTATATTAACAAATTTTAATACTCTACTGTTTTTACTATCAATTGTACTTGCCTTAAAAAAAGAATTTTTAGTCAAATCTCACATAAAAATTAGACTTGAAGACTAAAAAATAAAGCAAGAGACCCCTGCCTTTTATAGGCTAGTCAGCTCTCCCTAATCTCACCACCTTTGTCTTTGAAATACTATTTGACTTCTTTTTTTTTGTGTTGATTTTTTGTACTTCTTTTTGTTGGTCTAAAATTTTAAAATAATTATTAATTTATTATTATATTAATTTTATTTAAACGGATAAACGGTTTAATAGGTCTTACCTGAACATGACCCGTTTATTAAACGTGTCTGACGGGTCAATCTGTTTACCAACCAAATTTATTAAGATCTCATTCAAACCTGTTTAATTTATATTTATTCGTATCGATTAATAATGTTGTGTCGAATTTTGACGGGGATAGAAAACTTGATAGTTGGTCTTACAATTTAACTGAGGACGAATTAGCAACAGAATATCAAGCCCAAAACACCCATAAAAATAACGAGTTTCACCACCACAATCCCTTGGATCTCCAATCGTGTGAAAACTCATCCCAAATTTGGAAATTTTACACCGCAATGACCACAACTAAAACCTCGTGTCATCCTATCTATTGTTTTCAGAAAGAATAATTAACATTGATACCATAATGATCCATTTTGGTAAAGTGAATGAAAAAATGAGAAGATAAAAAATAAATCACTTTTATTTCAAGGAAGAACTCCTCCTTTCATTCTTTGTATTTGGTAGGAGAGAGAGAGAAAAAAAATAAAAAATATTAATTTTTTTGTATTTGATAAGATGAAATTTTTTTAATTTTTTTTCTAAAATTGTTAGCGTTAATTTTTTAGTTTCTAAGAAAAATATAAATACATATTTTACTATTACATCTATAAATGAAATTAATGTATAAATAATATGTAATTTATAAATATGATAAATGTATTATATTAAAAGATATAACATATATTTTAACACACATAATTAAATCTCCATCAAATTTTTGTTTCAATTTTAGAGGAATTAATTTTGACGAGTTGAAAAAAAAAACTCATCTATCTACTTTTCCATCAAGACAAGGAAAAAAGATATAAATTCAAGATAAAAAAAGAGAGAAATTTTAGATAAGAAAAACAATAAAAATAATAACATGACAAAAAAAATATAACTTGATTCAATACAGTACCCACACATCACACTGTACCAAAAAACAGATATATAGATAAAATATTATAACCCATGCTTTAGGTCATTAAAAACCTATTGATTTTCTAATACATTTCTTATTCTATTTAGAATTCTTTTACTCAACAAACCTCTTTTCATAATAATTAGAAAGGAGTTTTGATCAAATTCCAACAATTTCTGTCTTCATAGACCAAAATCCAACAAGCAAAAGTACCTAACATGTAGAATGCCAAACAAAATCATCCTGCAGAGACACACCCCACCCAATTCTTTTCAGTTATCCTCGTTCGACAAAGCACAACACATATTAAGAGAAATCAAAAAACAACCCATCCAACAATAATCAAACGACAACACAAGCATATAACAAGTACGATTGGAATAGTCATCAATGAAAATACCTGAATTAGAAAAAAAGATATTCACAAAACAGTAACAAATTGTATAAGGTTTCTGTACGGAGAAATCAAGAACTAACTATGATATACTAAGCACGCTCCCCACGAATACGCCTCGCAAGCTGGATGTCCTTGGGCATGATTGTCACCCTCTTGGCATGAATGGCACACAAGTTTGTGTCCTCAAAGAGACCCACAAGGTAAGCTTCAGCAGCCTCCTGAAGCGCAAGCACAGCATGACTCTGGAACCTCAAATCACTCTGTGTTCAACACAAAGAAAAAATATTACAAACCAAATAAATAAACGATAAACATAAAACATCACATACTAATATTAAAATTGAATTTACCTTAAAATCCTGAGCAATTTCACGGACAAGGCGTTGGAAGGGCAACTTGCGAATGAGAAGATCAGTGCTCTTCTGGTATTTTCGGATTTCACTGTTGAGAAAATTTTAAAAACTGTGATCAGAATTCGTTCATAGTACGAAAACTTCGTGCAAATCAGAGTATAAAAATGGAGCAAATAAATATATCACCGAAGGGCGACAGTTCCAGGGCGGAAACGGTGAGGCTTCTTGACTCCACCGGTCGTTGGGGCTGATTTTCTCGCAGCCTTCACATCGAAATAAAAGTAATCAGTATCTAAATCCTACATTTTACTATTACTTTCTCAGTTAATTTTCTTATCAAACAAACAAACGAGAAACGAAACGAACTAAAATTACAAACATGAAAAATCCAAGGGAAACCATACCTTTGTGGCAAGTTGCTTCCTCGGAGCCTTTCCACCGGTTGATTTACGAGCAGTTTGCTTCGTACGGGCCATATATCGCCTCAATTCCAAGAAAGAAAGAAATCGCAAAAGGTGAAGAAATCTGCTGATTCAAACACAGAAACGAGCGAACAGATCAAAGAAATAACAAGAAAAAAGAAGATTAAAACAATAAACAGTGCCAGAGAGAGATCGATACCTACTATGGAGGAAGATGCACAGAGAAGAAATCAAGAAGTAGATCAGGCTTAAAACATTAATAGGGTAAACGGCTGGTGTATATATAGGAGAAGGAGAGTCGGTGGTTAGGTCGGTTTAATTGGCAACGTGGACTTGTTGGACTCTTCAAACGGATTTTTGAATAGAGATTAAAAACTGGGGAATTCGAAAAGGTCCCTCTGTCCGTGCTTAGCTGTCATTGGTAAATATAAACCTATGTCCCACTAATCTATGTTATGTTAATCATTGGTTACGGTGGTTACCGTAATTATAAAAATAATGTGATTCGTTTTATCTACTTATTATTTTTTAAGTAAATAATAGTATCATGTGATTACATGGTGTCAACATTGGTTATGATTTATTGTAAGTCTCGTGAGAATATCAATCTCAATCATAATTTTAAAACTCGGTCGGAATATCAACTAGAGAGAAAGATCGGGTCGTTGGGTCACTAATCGAATTGACAATATAATAAAAAATATTATTAATGATAATAAATCTATAATATTAAATAGAGCAGACTTTAATAAGTCTATTCGACGGTCTCAAATAGACTTATTCAATGATCATCAACATCTCTCTCAAAACCACTCACATTATACTTCATCTTCAAGCACAAGTTAACCATAGTAAATAAATAAATTATGACAATTTTAAAATTTACATGCAGATATATGAAGAATGAAATTTCAAAAACCAGTTTCCAATATTTCAAATACAACTCAACACACATGAAGAATATCACTAATTATTAAGAATATCACAAACATAAAAAATACATATATCCGTAGCCAATATCACGAACACACAATATCTTGGTAAAACAAACTCATACAATATTAACGACGATTTTGTTCTTGAATTTTGTAATCCAATATACTTGCCAAAATGATCGAAAATGCCGATTGTGGTTGTGTGCTTGGTGATCGGTAGTGACGTTGATAGATATGTGTTATGCTTCAGTCAATCTAGGGTGGATGGTAGCTGTAAGGGGTAGAACCCTCCACTCAGGATTTCGGCTTGACCTGGGTTAACCCACGCGGGCGACCCCCCAGTAGCCTTTACCTCTCTTCGCCAATAGGACCCTTTCCTAAGGCAATCCCACATCGGAAGATAGTCGTCTTCCCCCCTCGCATATAAGCCCTTGCACTCAAAGGAGGAGTATGCGAGGGGGGAAGACGACTCTCTTCCGATGTGGGATTGCCTTAGGAAAGGGTCCTATTGGCGAAGAGAGGTAAAGGCTACTGGGAGGTCGCCCGCGTGGGTTAACCCAGGTCAAGCCGAAATCCTGAGTGGAGGGTTCTACCCCTTACAATAGCGATTATGCTTGTTGGGAGCTTGGAAGACTAGATTCGAAGTTGTCAAAGAAAAATTGCGGGGGCAAATGGAAAAAGAGAAAGACGATAGAGAGGCTGAGGCTGACAAATCGAACAGATTTGATCTCGAAATCGAATAGTCTATTAGGGGAAAAATGCCAAATATGTTTTAATTTATTATAGGTATTTTTTGATCCGGTCGGTTTGTGTATGCCCATCTAGTTTGAATGGTTATCAGAGTTCAGGTCTCCAGTTTTCTAGGTCAACCTACAGGACAGGACCGAATTTTAAAACACTTGTCCTAATTATCGGGCCGCACACTGTGAGTGTTGATGTAATTCTCGTAAGAGTAATAGAATAATGTAATTAAAGATATGATAAATTAGAGAGAAAATGAATGAATTTTTTCTTATATTTTATAATTAAATTATTTTCAAACCTTACTCAGAAATTAATTTGAATAAAAAATAAGTTAAAAACAAGTTTCAGTCATTTCCTAAAACTCATATCTATATTTATATTTACATTTATTCTACTAATAAAAGTTTTTTAACATACATTTTTTTTTGATTTTTTACTATTTTATCCTCATAAAGAATTAAAAGATCACTCTATCCTTCCACACTTAATTTCTAAATTACCATCATATCTTTATGCATTTAAATCTCTAAATTACATCTAATATCACTTTTAATTATACTAGCAATACAACACGTGCATTGCACGTAAATAATTTTTCTTAAAAAAATTAATAAATAAATATTTTGTATATGGGTACTTGAATTAAATATTACCTCAAATTTGCCAAATTTATTTTTTCATCTCTCATGCTCCACTATAAATTTTTTGAAAATTTTGTATATTTTCAAGAGTTATTGTTCTAACTTTAAGAAAAATAATAAAAATAAATAAATAAATAATTAAAGTTCTATTTTGTTTCTATAATTTTGTAATTGAAAGTGAATTTTTTAGTGATGTTTGAAAAATTAAATTTTATAAAATTAATTTGATTAAGATTCCACATATAAATCATTGAATAAAATAAAAATAATTATCAATATACCAATCGTATTGGAACTTACTGTATTTATGATTAGTTAGGTCAATTGAGATAAAATTTAATATACAACGTCATAATATATATTGTAAAATATATTAAATTTTTTTAAAAATTCAAGTTTTCACATAAAAATATTAACACAATTTAAAAAATTTATTGCCACTAAAAAATCATGTAAAAATATACATACATTATTTTTTATTTTAAAAATAAAATGGTTAAACATTTTGATGAAAAATAAAATATACATATGTAGTCATAATATTATCTTTATAAATGAAATGAGTATTATTATATTGATGGAGTTTTTGAAGATTTTTTTGAAAATTTTATTAAAATGTCAAATAATGCATATATTTTTTAAGAATAATATAATCAATAAAAAATTTTCATAAAAATGGACATTTATAAATAGAGAATAGATTATTAGAAAATTAATTTGATAAAAATTCTACTTAAAAGTCATTGAATAAAATAAAAAAAAATTATCAATATACCAATCATATTGGAATCTTACTGTATTTAGAATTATCTAGGTTAATTATAATCAAATTTAATATACAATGCTATAATATGTATTATAAAGCATATTAAGTTTTTTTTTTTTTAAAAAAAAAAAGTTTTCCCATAAAATCTAAATAAAGTCTGAAAAGTTTATTGTAACTAAAAAAATCATATAAAATTATATATACATTATTTTTAATCTTAAAAATGAAAGAGTTAAATATCTTGATGAAAAATAAAATATAAATATGTAGCCATAATAGTATATTTATAAATAAGGCAAGTAATATTATATGATGGAATTTTTGAAGGTTTTTTTGAATATTTGTTAAACTTATAATGAAACATATATTTTTTAAGAGTAATATAATCAATCAAAAATTTTCATAAAAAATAACATTTATATATAGGGGATTATATAACTAAAAGTTAAATTAGATGTAATTTAGATATTTAAATGCATAAGGATATGATGAAAATTTAGATATTAAGTGTAGAAAGATAGATAAACCTTTTTAATTATTTATGAGGATAAAATAGTGAATCAAAAGTTTGATCTTAGATGTAATTTAGATATTTAAATGTATAAGGATATGATGAAAATTTAGATATTAAATGTAGAAATATAAATAGACCTTTTTAATTATTTATGAGGGTAAAATAGTGAATCAAAAGTTTTTCATGTTAAGGTACTTTTATTAATAGTATATATATATATTCCCAATGTATAAATATCAATATTTATGAAACTTTTTAATTGATTTTATTACCCCTAAATATGCAGCATTATAAGTTTTAACAAAACCTTCAAAAATTTCATCAATATAATATTACTTATCTCATTTATAAAGATAATATCATGACTATATATGTATATTTTATTTTTCATTAAAATATTTAGTCATTTCATTTTTAAGATAAAAAATAATATATATATAGTTTTACATGATTTTTTAGTCACAATAAAAATTTTAAATTGTGTTAAGATTTTATGTGAAATTTGATTTTTTCAAAAATTTTAATATGATTTATAATATATATTATAGCATTATATATGAAATTTTATCTTAAATGACCTAACTAATCTTAAATACAATAAGGTTTCAATATGATTGGTATGTTGGTAATTATTTTTATTTTATTCAATGATTTATAAATGGAATCTTAATCTAATTAATTTTAAAAAATTTAATTTTCAAACATCACTAAGAAATAACTTTCAATTACAAAATTATAAAAACAAATAGAACTTTAATTATTTTTTTTCTTTTTTTTTTTTATCGTTTTTCTTAAAGTTGGAACAACAACTCTTGAAAATATACAATGTTTTCAAAATTTCTATAGTGGAGCACGAGAGATGAAAAAATAAATTTGGTAAATTTGAAATGATATTTAATTCAAGTACACATATACCAAATATTTATTTATTAATTTTTTCTAAAAAAATTATTTACGTGCAACGCACGTGGTGCATTGTTAGTATTAAATAAAAGAATAATTAAATTTGTACTCAAATTGAACAAGACTTTAATCTTCCATGGTTATATTTTATGATTCTTTAAATATTCAATTTGTCATTTTTCATTCTCCTTTAAATTTAAATCTCTTCATTAAAATGATTTATATTAAATTAAATTTCTTACTCAAATATTGACTCAAATGTAAATAAAATTTTAAGCATAGTTAGAGATGGCCTTTAGGGTCTAAGCAAACTATCATTCATATGCTCCAGTCAATTCTGATTTTTTACCGTAACTTCATCTCATTTAATTAGTTTTTTAAAATATTACTTCCGTGAATATAATAGTCATATGTACAGTAGTTTAGTTTCTGATTCCCAATTGATAGTCGAAATCAAGTTTGGAATAAAAGAGTTGCCACATTCTATGAATTGGGGGAGGGTTCACGTAGTTTGTCTCACACTTCGTCAGAGCGATGATTTATTTCAAATCGATTTCTTATCACTTTAGAATCAAGCAAAAGTTAGATAAATTATTGAGAAAATATGTCTAATGTTTTAACTAAGAGTCTTTTCAGGTCGATGGACTAGATTACAAAGTAATTTTGACAATCTTCATTGATGGACAATAACCCTTAGAGTTCCTCTTCTCGGTTTTCAAAAATTCTTATTCCATCATGACTGACGTGACGTGCATGCTAAAGCCGATAAATATATATCAATGAAGAGAAAGTCCATCGTTCTAGATGCTGCTCTTCAACTGTGTTAGATCAACATGCCGGAAAAAAGAGCAAAGATACCAATTTCTATTTTTTTTTTAATGTTGACACTTTTTTGTTCTCTCTCTCACTCATGTTTTCTTCTTATGTAATTTAGGATAAATTTTTCATAATTTAATTTTGAAAAAATTATCAAAATTTAAATTTAGACACAACATCTAAATTTACAATTCATCTTTCTATTCACTAAAATAGTCATTTCACTAGCGTTGAACCGGTGTGATGCATGAAAATTGCACACATCTCTTTTCACCTTTCTTGTCCACTTTTTCCTTTCTCTTTTATTTCTATTATTATCATACCATTTAAAAAATTTGCTAGAAAATTATTAAAAAAAATTTAGGGTGATAAAATAATTATTTAAAGTTATGGTGATGAAATTATATTTCTAAAAAAAATTAAATTGGTTGCTTATTTTTAANTTTAATTTTGAAAAAATTATCAAAATTTAAATTTAGACACAACATCTAAATTTACAGTTCATTTTTCTATTCACTAAAATAGTCATTTCACCAGCGTTGAACCCGTGTGATGCATGAAAATTGCACATATCTCCTTTCACCTTTCTTGTCCACCTTTTCCTTTCTCTTTTATTTCTATTATTATCATACCATTTAAAAAATTCGCTAGAAAATTATTAAAAAAAATTTAGGGTGATAAAATAATTATGTAAAGTTATGGTGATGAAATTATATTTCTAAAAAAAATTAAATTCGTTGCTTATTTTTAAAAAAAATTAAATGATAGTTAATTAGTAGGATAGAGGGTAGTTAGTAGACATGTGTTAGGACATAATTAATTATTAAAAATTCTAAGAAAAAAATTTGAGAGAAGACTTGTTATGCTACATTCTGCCTAATTTTGTTTTATACTATATATAGATTAGCGTATACTGCGTCATTAACAAAGACCGATGTGAATTCTGAAGCGGTTGGGGTGAAGAAACCGAGTGTGAGCAACAGTAGAATCACCTGGTAAAAAAAAAAAAAATAGAATCCAAAAATAGTATGTACAGTAAAGAATCTATTTAAAAAAAAAAATGGTGATGCGTAATGTAAAACTCGGACAAAAAGTGGGGTAGTTGTCTTTGTCGTCCTTAGTACCAACTATTTCCTCTACGCAGATTTTCATCTTCTTCGATTTACTAGGGTTTTGACTCTTGTCTCTCTCTTCATCCGGTTCGCTCTCTCACTCTTCTCTGTAAGCTTTCGATTTCTCTTTTGACTCTCTTGATGGCTAGCTCCTTTTTGTTCTCGTTTATTGTTTGAACTCAAACCTTTCACTCTCTCACTCTTCACGGTAACCGTCACGGTGAAAGGTTTTTTTTCTTGAACTGAGTTCTTCTGTAGAAAAATGATAGTTTTTTGCGTGTTGTTAATAGTGTTTATTGCGCCTTAATTTTGGTTAATTTCATTTTGCACTGGGTTTGGAGTTTGCCCTGAGTGGTTTGGGGCTTTTAGGGTTTTGGACTAAATTCTAATTTGAGACTTGATATGAGGGTGGATAAATTTTGAATTTTGATGATTGAATTCGGCAAAGTGTGTTGTTGTTATTGTTTGTTCTTTCTGCAAGTATAGCTGATTTGTTGACTTGCATTCGTTTTTTGTTGTTGTTGTTAAGTTACTTGATCTGTAGAGAATTTGACTAATTTAGCTTTCTAGTCGTGCTTAAAAGACAATCTTTAGTACTGCTGTTATGGGTTTTTCAACTAGTAGCTACTTCCATCTTCTGCACAGAGGCGGGTGGTTGTGAAAATTTTGAAAACTCTTGATCCAAGTTCTGCCAATGTGCCAGATATAGTTGAAAATTTGTATATAAATCATATACACCATAAGAAATGCTAAGAATTTGTTTTGGAAAATAATAATGCTTTGTTAACTTGAATTGAGAGGAGGACAACCCATTTCTGGATTGTTTGTTGGAACTTTGAATCCAAATATTGTGGGTTTGTAATATATGAGGTCCCAGCTTTGAAATGGACACTGTGTTATGCCATTTGGTCTATGTTTAATGGAATTCCTGCTTAGTAATTTTTGTTTCCTTTATGTTGATCCTATCTGTACCTAGCCTGCAGGTGTACAAGGAATTAGCACGCAACAGTTAATCTGTACCATAACTGCAAAATAACAGCATTCTATTTTGCTGCCAGGGTTGTGAAAAACGCTTGGATGCCTTCTCCCTTTTTCCAGTAATGCATTTGAGACATGCATGTGTCTACTTTGACTGCTAAGTTCCACATAGATACATGTGCTTTTGTCAAAGAGGATTCACGTTTTTCTATTTTCTAAGCACTTTTAAGGATTTTATTGACCAATCTTTATTTTTTGGTTGCTGGTACTGCATCACAGTAAATGGTCTTTTTTGCTGTATGAGCTGTCTGCAGCTCTTGCTCTCGTGCTGTGATATTACAAGTGCTCTTGATTTATTTGGCTGTGAAATATGCAGCCTTGAATTGAAGGATGCAGATGTTTGTGGCAATTCTTTCAAAAGTCTTAGTTGTTAATGCGTCTGCTATGAAATTTCTATTTGTTTGGATGCTTTTCAGCTGAAGCATGCTGTTCATTTGCAATTACCCAGGGATTTGATTGTTACTCAGTGTTGGATTGTTTTTTGCTGTATTTTGAGCTTAGCTTGGACTAGTTTTCTTGACAGACATTCTCCATAGAGATGAGCTTTTACTTCTGATACCTACTGCATATGGTAATGTGCTGGTACAATTATTTTTCCCTCTCTCCAGGTTATTCTCTAACATTGGAATAGTAAAGTTGCATTTACTTTTTTTCTTTTGTTCCTTTGCAGGTTTAGTTGTTAGGCTCCAAGNCCTACTGCATATGGTAATGTGCTGGTACAATTATTTTTCCCTCTCTCCAGGTTATTCTCTAAGATTGGAATAGTAAAGTTGCATTTACTTCTTTTCTTTTGTTCCTTTGCAGGTTTAGTTGTTAGGCTCCAAGTTTGGGTGGTTGTTTGGGGTTCATTTGGCCATATTCGCACGAATACTATCTTGTGGATACCCAATGGATGACAGTGGGCATCGTGAAAATGGAAGACATAAACCACCTCAGGGTCAGGTATCTAGAAGCAAGTAGTTTCTGCAAATGAAAAAATTACATGGGTTATTCATTGCTATAAGTTTTCATTCCAAACTTCTGTGCTATGCATAGTTGCTTAATGACTCTTATTTCAGTGGTTGATGCAGCAGCCATCTATGAAACAAATAATGGCCATTATGGCTGAAAGAGATGCTGCTATTCAAGAAAGAAATTTGGCCCTTTCCGAGAAAAAGGCTGCCTTGGCCCANGGCCGTTATGGCTGAAAGAGATGCTGCTATTCAAGAAAGAAATTTGGCCCTTTCCGAGAAAAAGACTGCCTTGGCTGAGCGAGACATGGCTATGCTACAACGAGATTCAGCTATTACTGAAAGAAATAATGCCATTATGGAGCGAGACAATGCCATTGCCACTCTTCAGTATAGGGAGAACTCCATGAATAGTGGTAATATGTCTCCATGTCCACCGGGATGCCAGATCGCACGTGGGGTGAAGCACATGCATCACCCGCAACAGCATATACATCATCAACCGCAATTGGGCGAAGCTCCATACAATAACAAGGATATGCACATAAATGATGCCATCCCAATGTCACCGGTTGCTCCGGAACCTGCAAAGTCCCGACGAACTAAACGAACAAAGGAGGTGAAGGCAACAACATCCAACAAGAAGGCTTCAAAACCGTCAAAGAAGGTTAAAAGGGAAGGTGAGGACTTGAATAAAACAATGTTTGGTAAGTCACATGAGTGGAAGGGTGGGCAGGAAATGGGGGGTGGTGGCGGACAATTGGGTTTATCGAAGCCGGATTGGAAAGATCAAGACCTGGGACTGAACCAGGTTGCATTTGATGATTCAACCATGCCAGTGCCAGTTTGCTCATGCACTGGATTCCTAAGGCCGTGCTACAAATGGGGAAATGGAGGTTGGCAATCTTCGTGCTGCACGACCACCATGTCGATGTATCCACTGCCAGCAGTACCTAACAAGCGTCATGCCCGAGTTGGTGGTCGGAAAATGAGTGGGAGTGCATTTAATAAGCTGATTAGCCGTCTCGCTGCAGAAGGCCATGATCTGTCGAATCCAGTTGATCTTAAGGACAACTGGGCAAAGCATGGAACAAATCGCTACATCACCATTAAGTAAATGTCTAGAAATTGGCATGAATGTGTGAAAATAAATTCAGAAACAGCATCTGGTGAATGGTGATCAGGTATGTGTCCTTAATTCTTCTTTTGTTATAGGGGAAGAAGGGATTTTGCTTAATTGCCTAGGAATAAATCTTTTTGAACCCCCCCCCCCTCTCTCCCGCAGCCGGTTATCACTTGCTCTCGCTTTCCCTCTTTTCTTCTTCTTTTTTCCCTCTGTAAAATTATTTGGAGGAAGGATGAAGAGCTGTTGCCATTTTGTTGGTATATCAATAGCTAAATTTGGTGAACTTGAAGCATGTATCTTTGTGACTGGGGATAATTGTAAAGCAAGGTTGTACGTACCTCAAATTGTCTGGTTGTACTTGTACTAACGTTAATGTTTAAGTTGTTATAGTGTTTGCTTGTCCAACCCTGTCTTTCTTCAGCCTATATATATGGTTATGCCCGGGGTCGGAATTAACTGGGTTTATCCCTTCATTCACGATGACCAAGAGCTGTTTGGACCCTTGTGATGAATTTTTTTCGTTTCGTAATAGGTTTTAAACGAGTGCTACATGGCTCTTTGTTCATGATATTTCATTTTCTTGTTATATTTACACTATTTACTCTCTTCGTTTCCTTTTTCACCAGACTTGCTTTAACATCACAACTGAACTAGGACTACATGGGTTCTTGTTAGTTGTCCAGAAAATTACTAAATAAGATCGGAATTCAAAAAGGCTTAGAAGGTGAAATTTTTATAGTTGTTTAGACAAATATTTACTACCATTAAAAACGAACGAGCTGTGTGAATACTTAGAAAAAGAAGGCTGGAAGTGGGAGAAATATATATATACAAATATCTATATAATAAAGTACAATATAATTTAAATCTCAAAAAATAAAAAAATGATTTTTGTTTTTTCAGGTTAAGATTTCTTTAATATTACTTTAAATTTAATCTGACGGTTAATATTACCACTCCAAATTTAATAAGAAAAATAGACCCATAAGAGTGCGTTTGTGATAATTTTTTAAAAATTCTTATAAGATTTATAACTGTAGGTACTTTTACAAAAAAAAAAAAGTGTTTGAAATTGTTCTGTCAACACCACTACCACCACCACCCATACCGCCCCACCACGTCCATTGCTCCACTACCACCACTGTCGCTGTTGCCACCCCACTATCACCACTACACTTATCGCTACTCTACCACTCTCACCACTACACCCATCACCACCCTACCACCCTCACCACCACCTTTTCCATAACAACAAACACTATCGTTCCACTACTATCGCCACTTTTGTCACCACCATTATCGTCATGCCATCACTACCACCCCACCACCACCCATCTCCACTTTCACCACTGTTACCATCATCGCCACTGTCTCACTATCACTATCCCACCGCCACCATCACCATTGCCATCAATGATTGTCACCATCATAATTAGTTGTCGTCACCTATCACAACCATTATCNAGTGAGCCAGTTGAGTGACCAACCACGCTGCTTGGAACAGCCTACGAGGTCCGGTGATAACCTGGAACGGCAAAGAGAGACCCTGGGGGAGCGGAAGAACGATCCAGTAAGACTGAAAGAGGTCCCTAGAACAAAGAAGAACAAGTTAGAAGGGCGCCGGAGTGTTTTCCGGCGTATTCCCTCCGACGATCTAGTCAGTCTTTGAGAAAGAGAGAGGAAGGAGAAAACATTGAGTGTGTATTGTAGTAAAGGGTTTTTTGTNCCACTACTATCGCCACTTTTGTCACCACCATTATCGTCATGCCATCACTACCACCCTAGCACCACCCATCTTCACTTTCACCACTGTTACCACCACTTTACCATCATCGCCACTGTCTCACTATCACTATCCCACTGCCACCATCACCATTGTCATAAATGATTGTCACCATCATAATTAGTTGTCGTCACCTATCACAACCATTATCATCTCTGACTACCATCACTACCACCGCTCGCTTTCACTACAATCAATGCTTAAATTCCTTTCTCTCCTCTATCTTTGAAATTTAATTTTGGGTGTAAATATAAATATGTTTATTGTTGATTGTTTTTTATTACTTCGTGCCTTTAGGTATGAAAAATAACTAGTATATTATATAATATCAATAATAAACTAAAACTTATATGTTTTAAGAGTTAAGGAATGCATATCCTTATTTATAATTATCGTTACACCCCCCCCCCTCAAAAAAAAAAATTGACCCCCAATTTATCAAACTAACATTTAATTTCATTAAATTAACACTAATTGACATTCAATTTCGTCAATTTGAATATTAATTTCATCACATTAATACTAACTTCATCAATTTAACACCAAATTAAAATTTAATTTTCTCAAATTAGCATATGTTTTTATTGATTTAATATCAAATTAATATTCAATTTTATCCCATTAACTTCAAATTAATATTGAATTTCATTATTTTTTAGATATGTCAATAACGTCCTTGTAGGGGTAGTATGTGAAATGGGCATATAAACTAAAAAAAATGACAGTGAATATCAAAGAAATGACAGTGATTTTCTAGGTATAGGTAGTGTCCCTGTAATTAGACCATTCATTGAAATTGACCCAATTCAATATTGCAATGGGCCTTCCCATTGGGTTACTACTGGTAATGGGCTACCCATCTGTATAGCAAATCATCGTCCTTTAATCTGAAAAAGACAGAAACCTGATCAACCGTCGTCGTTCAACAACTCGTGACATCCAATCCATCGCCACCCGCGATGCATAATAATTCGACGGGTTGATCTGGTTTCGCAGTAACTTCGGAGACTGAATTGAAGTAGTAGGAGTTGAATAAATAAATGGAGAGCAGCAAGAAGAAAGGCTACGCATGGGCGATTTCAGCCGGACTCAACGCTGCTCTCGCTGCCATTTCCGCTAAGCTTTTCTCATTTCAGGTACTCCTTCTCATCTTTTCACTACTCCAACTTGCAATCGCTCTCAAGATCCTACAAATTCATCGGCAAATCGTAATCCTAATACAACCCACCCACGGTTCTCCTTATTGATTGACATATTGAAGAGCTGAAGAGTGGGCGAGTGGTAAGGCTGATTGATTTCCTGAGATTGTGACTATCACGCATATTGTGTATGATTTAGCCATTGTTCTGATTTCTTCAATCGTTTCCCAGATGTGCTTATTCTAATTGATGATTGCATTCAGAGTCATTTTTGTATTTCCATGATTATTATTAACTAACTGGAGATCTATTTGTTTATCCACATGTAAGACAAGTTCATTCTTTAACTATATAACAGATCATATTATCGTATCCTAATGTATATTATTGCACTGCGCTTTAAAAAAATAAAAATAAGGTTCACATGAGTGTAGTCCTTTTACTAGTTTGAAAGGATTTAGCCAAATGTTTTAGCCAATTATTGCAATTACAGCCTTATCAATGGTNTGTGGCCCTTGCATTCCAGTACGTTCTGACACTAATTGTGTAAGACGAGGTCATGATGAATAGCCTAGACTAGCCTAGGCTAATGACCTGTACGTCAATAGCTTATCCTGGAGTAGAGGAAGTGTCCAGGACGGGGTACCTCTCGGCACCGAGGAAAGGCTCATCTCGGAACCGAGGGAGGTATACCGACCGAAGTACCATATCAGACCGAGGTTACGTGTTGATTGTAACTCGTACTGAAATGTCACGATCCTATATGACGAGTACCTCGGGGGCGAGGACCTTTATGTGCCGATGGTGCTTGATCTTAGTAACAGTGTTTTGGTAAATACCGAGGACACGTGTCTTCATCATGGAGTATTTCAGAAAAGTCTCATCAAATGGATATCAGTTTGGCTATACCAAATAAAGTGACACAGAAATNTAAAATTTAATTTTCTCAAATTAGCATATGTTTTTATTGATTTAATATCAAATTAACATTCAATTTTATCCCATTAACTTCAAATTAATATTGAATTTCATTATTTTTTAGATATGTCAATAACGTCCTTGAANTCAATTTAACACCAAATTAAAATTTAATTTTCTCAAATTAGCATATGTTTTTATTGATTTAATATCAAATTAATATTCAATTTTATCCCATTAACTTCAAATTAATATTGAATTTCATTATTTTTTAGATATGTCAATAACGTCCTTGTANTGATGATAGTAAGACATCACCTCACATATCATTCAAAATTCAGGTAGCAATAGGGCAGTTGTACCTCACACCATCCACATGTATCATAATAACACATTATTTGAATCGAGGCACTANATTAATATTGAATTTCATTATTTTTTAGATATGTCAATAACGTCCTTGTAGGGGTAGTATGTGAAATGGGCATATAAACTAAAAAAAATGACAGTGAATATCAAAGAAATGACAGTGATTTTCTAGGTATAGGTAGTGTCCCTGTAATTAGACCATTCATTGAAATTGACCCAATTCAATATTGCAATGGGCCTTCCCATTGGGTTACTACTGGTAATGGGCTACCCATCTGTATAGCAAATCATCGTCCTTTAATCTGAAAAAGACAGAAACCTGATCAACCGTCGTCGTTCAACAACTCGTGACATCCAATCCATCGCCACCCGCGATGCATAATAATTCGACGGGTTGATCTGGTTTCGCAGTAACTTCGGAGACTGAATTGAAGTAGTAGGAGTTGAATAAATAAATGGAGAGCAGCAAGAAGAAAGGCTACGCATGGGCGATTTCAGCCGGACTCAACGCTGCTCTCGCTGCCATTTCCGCTAAGCTTTTCTCATTTCAGGTACTCCTTCTCATCTTTTCACTACTCCAACTTGCAATCGCTCTCAAGATCCTACAAATTCATCGGCAAATCGTAATCCTAATACAACCCACCCACGGTTCTCCTTATTGATTGACATATTGAAGAGCTGAAGAGTGGGCGAGTGGTAAGGCTGATTGATTTCCTGAGATTGTGACTATCACGCATATTGTGTATGATTTAGCCATTGTTCTGATTTCTTCAATCGTTTCCCAGATGTGCTTATTCTAATTGATGATTGCATTCAGAGTCATTTTTGTATTTCCATGATTATTATTAACTAACTGGAGATCTATTTGTTTATCCACATGTAAGACAAGTTCATTCTTTAACTATATAACAGATCATATTATCGTATCCTAATGTATATTATTGCACTGCGCTTTAAAAAAATAAAAATAAGGTTCACATGAGTGTAGTCCTTTTACTAGTTTGAAAGGATTTAGCCAAATGTTTTAGCCAATTATTGCAATTACAGCCTTATCAATGGTGTGCGTGCAAGATCCTGCACAATATAAAAAACGAGAATAGATCTCTCCCTTGGTGAACTCGAGTGAGCCAGTTGAGTGACCAACCACGCTGCTTGGAACAGCCTACGAGGTCCGGTGATAACCTGGAACGGCAAAGAGAGACCCTGGGGGAGCGGAAGAACGATCCAGTAAGACTGAAAGAGGTCCCTAGAACAAAGAAGAACAAGTTAGAAGGGCGCCGGAGTGTTTTCCGGCGTATTCCCTCCGACGATCTAGTCAGTCTTTGAGAAAGAGAGAGGAAGGAGAAAACACTGAGTGTGTATTGTAGTAAAGAGTTTTTTGTTGCATACCCGTCTTGCCTTTTGCAAGGAGTATTTATACCTCAAAAGCTCATGATTGCTGTCAGTGTAGTCAGTAGGTGATCATTAGGTACAGGCAGTGTGCGCACTGATTCTGATGAGGAATGTCTTCTCTTCTTAACTGCTCGGGGTCCCGAGCAATCAATGCTGGGTCATCGGGATGCCGACGGTACAATGTACTCCTCTCGGGGAGGATGCAATAAATGCTCTGTATTAGGAGCATTTATTG